AGGGATACAGTGTTCAGCTGTCTGCTTTTTCTCAGTCCTGCTCACATTTTAGTTACAGGCAAGGTTTTTGCCAGCAACTGTTGATTGTTGATCATTTCGTGAGCTATAAAGATTAACATGACAACAATACTGGACTCCATGGAATGAAATGTACGCCTGTCTTTACATTTTTTGGGGGAGTCTAAAAGAAATAGATGGTCTGTGTTATGTAATACTTATACCTAAGAGGAAATTAATCCACTGGCTAGTTAGTAAACTAGACAACCTGGCGATAAGAAAGCAGGGAATTCATGTTTCTTTATGAGAATAGGGTTAAATAAAAGTTTTAACTTTTTGTTTTCGGTTTAACAAAGTTTTTTTATTCACAATGTATTTCCCTCACAGACTTTGGTCTCATGACCAATATCTTGATTCCTCTGCGACTCTCTGTCCTGTGAGCAGATAAGGAAGGTGTCTGCTTTCCGAGGGGCCTCTGTTGTCTAAACAGGGATGTGCTGATCCGACAACAACCACAAAGGAAACGGCAAAGGAAAGAGATAGAGAAGGCACATAGAAGTGGCGCGAAGGATCATGCAGTAGAAATGTTGCAGGATGTTTCTTAGATTTTTTTTTGCTGTTGTTGCAAGTTTGAGTAAATAAAGTTAAGGAAGAAGAAAATATGTTGCAGGTCGGGTGGTTTTGTTGGATGTGAAGCTCTTTTTGGGAGCTGGCTGATGGAGGGGATTCACAGGAGTGCTGTTGTCTTCTCTGTGTGCTGATTGATGGAGTAACACACTGAGGGGTGAATTGTAGGTTAGGAAGAGAGAGGTATTTTTTTTTTTGTTTTCCAGGCTGAACTTAGTTCAGGGTGATGACAGCTGCCGACAGTTCTTGGCTCCTCGCCCTCTTTCTCCACGCCAGGTAAAAATCCCCCTCCTCCCTCCCTCTCTCTTCTCACCACGCTCAGACAGCGTCAGTCACTAGCACTCCGCTGGCGCCAGATACAGCCTCTCTGGTTCAATAGGAGCTATTTTTCCACTGGTTTTCACAGGTCCACTTTTACACTGTCAGTATTACTATATAAACAGAAAGCAATGATCAGGTTACAGTGCAGCTCACCTGTTACACCCCAAAACATAAAACCATTTATGCCTAGCTTACACTAAGAGATCTTACTTCCCCTTAAAAAAATCACATTTTAAAAGAAAAACCCAGAAGATTAAACCTTCTTAATGAGGGAATTTGAAAAAAAACAAGCATTTAAAACTGCTTAAAATGTGTGTAATGTGAAAAAAAAACAAAAAAACTGAATGGACCTACTAAATAATACAATCTTGAAGGGTTTCTTTTTTTATAGTTTATTTGATTCAAATATAATAAAGACTTGTAATTGCATTTCATAATACATAGATTAAGATCTTAAATCCAATTATCTGATATTTTGCTATATTCTTTAGGTTTCAAGTCACAGTTGAAATAGAAGCTGTGCTTTAAAAAAAAAAAAAGCCTCTCTGCCCTGCTCGAAAAGAAACAAGCCTTTTTTCATGTATTTGGCTGATTTTAAGGCTGCCTTGTAAGTTTATTCTTACTATTGATATAAAATTCATACCAGATGTTATAAACAACCAAAGTATGCATATATTGAAAAAAAAAAGGTCCACCTTAGGCACGGACTCGGCACGGATCGGTTTTCAGAGGAAAGTGTTAACAGGGCTTCTGTCACCAGCCTTCACCAGTTCCTCACCCAGCCTTGATTGTCAGAGCATCTACTGTTTACATATTAATATTTATTGCTCTATTTATATATATTGGTAAGTTTCCATTACCAGAGTTCAAATTGATTGGCCTTTGTGAAAAAAAAAATTTATCTTATTAAATTAATTAGAATAAAAAAGGATTCAGAAAAATTTGGTCATTTTATTAGAATGGTTAGATTTATTGTTGCAAAAATAAAATACAACTGTCTTGTTAACTTTTAGCTCCTGTCCACTCAGAGTGTTTATTAAGTGTGGAGGTTACTGTGTCTTTTATCAGAATATCACAAATCTTACAAATCTTGAACATAGTTTTGAGTACTACTTTGCAGCTTTCTGCTTTGCAGAAAGGGTAAAATAAGTCAATTATTTCACAAGGGAAAAATATTCTGCACCTGTTTCTGAATGGTGCATACATGTTTGAGCAGCATGTCCTCATAGCAGATCCAAGACGGCTAGTGTTGCAGAAGCCAAACAATCTTGGTGTAACTTGAAAATAATTAATCTTGAAAATAATGTTTGTAAAGGTATCTTTGAGACTTAGAACCAACAGATTATTCCTAAATTATGCAGATGTGTCTCTGAAAAAAGAATGGCTGCTAATGAGCTATGATCCCAGTTGGTGTGTTTTTGGTTTCTTGTTGCAGAGGAAAAAGCACAGAAGAGGGAAGCATTCATCCAGAGAGATTCGTGTGAAAACTTGCAGATTACTCTTTCAAAATCCCTTACAGGCTTACAAAATACCTCCAGCCATCAATTTAAAAACAACTTATTATGTTGCAGGGTTTATTTTTCCCAGAAAGCGGGTTTGTTGTGAAAATCAGCAGTCTAGTTGAAGTTAAATTACATTACTTCCAGACAAACTGATGCTGATTAGTTCATTTTTTAATACTTGCACAAATTTATGAAGTTTAATGGAGGCTGTTGATCATTAGCAGTGGCCTTTATGAGTCAAGGTCAAAGTTAAATAGTCAGGGTTTTATTTAACCTCCTGTCCACTGAGAAGTTTCTGTCCTCGGGCTCACCTCCTGCTTTCCCTTTCTTTCTCTTTTTCATTTTTCCCTTCTCTGTTTTTATTAGATAACTCCTTTGTACCTCTCTGGGTTTGAAACCTTACCACTCTTGTTAATGACAAGCTGGGGGTTCAGGTTGGGGTTGTGGCCGTGGGGTGAGGGCCACATTTGGCTCAGTACTGTGCTGTCCATTGAAGGTGACAGGGGGGGCTGTGACTTTGGGGCATTTGACCCCCAAATTCTTTATTTTTACTAGGAAGTCTTCCAAGGATGGAGCTGTTGATGTGAATAGCGGCCCAAGGTGACTGGATCCCAATAAAGGGGCCGTCACCCTGGACGGGGCCCCCTTCCCATCTGAGACACAACCTTTATTGGGCTGGTTATGAGCCTGGGCAACTATTAAACCCTGCCCAGCCTGCACTGAGGAATTTAGGGCCAGGAAATAGGGGGTGGGGGAAGGCGTGGGCTCAAGGAGGTGAAGTTGGGGTGAATGAAGGTGAAAGTTGAAAGGCACATCTGATCAGAGATCATATGGAAGGGCCTTTATCCCCTAGTTTCCAAAATTCATATCATCTGATGCTGATTTTAGTTGAAGTTAAGTATCTAAACCATAAAAAGTTTACAAAAGAACAAAACAATCATTCTTAAAATAAGAAGTATTTAGATGTATCCTTTTATGGGGTCTAATAGGTGATAAATCAGGTTTTTTTTCCACTTTCTCTTTATGTTTCAACAGGATGTACTTTGAACTTTGAACCACTTTTTTGTGAATTTAATCAGATTTAGAAAAAAAGGTTACTGAAAAAATTACTTTAGTATTTAACTGGGGTTGATCTTATTAAGAAAACTGTTGTCTATTTCTTCTCCTTTTATGTTTTAAAGTTCCTAAAACATCCAAAATCAGCAAGACCTTCTTAAACAGACCTGGAAATCAGTGCAGGTCAGGAGAAGCAGGATCTTTGGAGGCTCTTGTTCACCAACTAAGAATTACTCTACATGTCATTTGATTTAATATTAGACTTAGTATACCGGTAACTTAAAATGTTCACACCTCAGAGGGTAAAAAATTTAACTTTTTAGAGAGTAGTCATTCTTAGACAGCTCTGCAGATAAACTTGACCTTGCTATTATTCAAAATGAAGGTAAAATGTTTAAAATGCAGGGATTGTAAACTGTCTGTGATTAACAATGATCATATGTTAATAAACATGCTGCGTGGGCTAACATGCCTGTTGCATTACAAAATAAAATGTTCTATGGTTAAATCTCTATTTTTGTGGTAATACACTTAACACATTAAGAGGTTATGTAAATTAATTCCAAAATGTTCATCACTGTTTCTAAATATAAGTTTTCTTCCTTCAGTAAAGACTTCCTCACTGAGGGGTGTTTTTGTTTGATCAGATAAAATATTGTATTTTAATTCATATCCAGTCAATCACTGATATGAGTTAAGTGTCAGCCTCTTTTCTGTCGCCGACTCCTCTAAATGTGTTCCTGGATTGTTTTGTTTTTTTGTTGTTGTTTTTTATCTGTGTTTTTTTTAAGAAAACCGCAGTTTGATAAGCTTAACAACAAATGTTAAACATTATTTGTATTGATGCTTTTCAGTAGTGGTGGGAGAAGGCCTCTGCCAAAAATAAGCTGTTTTACAGTGTGAAATTTTCCTTAGCGAGTCAGTGAGAGGGGAATGGAGGGAGACGGCGAGGTCTCGTAAACATCCCACCTCTGTTTGTTCACATGGAGGCTCTGGGATATGGTCAGGTGTGGTTGGACGACTTTCCAAATAATAATAAAAAAACGGGCAACAAAGCATATGGGTGTGCACACAAACACACACGTGCAAAATTTTCAGATGTGAGTCAAAAAGTCAGCAGAGGTGTCCCACTGCCCCTCCTGTTCTCCAATAAATGGTGAAGCCAATCATAGCTCAGCTGCCAATCAGCATTTTATCAGCAGGGCCATCTGGCCATCAGCTAATTGTGTCCCTTTTAAGTCCCTGTCAATCAGCCCACTACCAACCCTCCTCCCTTTTCTCTTAAAAATGTCTGCTTTTGAGCTTGTTCCCTTCTGGCTCCACAGGGTGGCCTGCAGAATGATGGGGGGTTGTTTGTTGACCACTCTCTCCTAATCAGCTGCTGCATTTGCTTTCATCATTGTTTCAAAGACTCTAAGGATTAATGCAAACAAGATGTATTCTTATAATAAAGAGACCTTTCTCTCCCTCTCTTTTTTTTATTTTCTCGCCCTGCAGCGGTGGAGACTCAGAGCACCAGTTCAGAGGAGATGGTGCCCAGCTCACCCTCCCCTCCTCCCCCTCCTCGGGTCTACAAGCCCTGCTTTGTGTGCCAGGACAAGTCATCTGGTTATCACTACGGAGTGAGCTCCTGTGAGGGCTGCAAGGTAAATGAAGCCAGAGGTACAAGGAAAAAAGAAAACTGAACAACTTAGGATCAGTTAAAAGGAAACCTAGAGTGGGGGCCTCATTTTTACCTAACAGATGTGTGAGCAGTGCAAATTTTTAATTTCTGCTGCCCCCTACTGCATACTTACTTATATTGCATATGCATAATATGATGAGTGTTTTCCAAAGGAACCTTTCATTTTTAATGTCAAATTGCGCTTTAAAATAATATGTTTGGCCTATTTTTTTATCGAAAAATAGGGCCTGCTTAACTTTCTTTTGGAAGGACAAAAAGATACATCTCTTTTTAAGACATTTCTACAAATAAAAAGTTTGGAAAGTAAAAGGTGAATTTGTATTAATTATTTTTTACTCTCACACCGATAAATAAAATCCATATGATATAATCTCAGATAAAACCCAGTTCTCTGAAGGCGCAGGATGTTTGTTAGAGGACAAGTAGAAGGGGAAAAAAGATATCATACAGAACAATGAACATCAAAGACAAGCCAAGAAAGAAAAACCCTAAACTACAATCCTAACAATGCAGGAGGGAATAAATCAGACAATCAGGCAAAGGGGTCTGGGAGAACTCTGGTGGACCTGCAGAGATCCTGCAGAGGTATCCCATCATCAATGCTCTGCTCAAAGGAGACCATGTTAGCCTACATCCTAAACACTAAATGTGGTGGAGACCTAGCTGCATCAACAGCCAAACAATGGATGGATGGATGGATGAACTTAGATTAAAAAAAATTAAGACTGGCTAATTACTAAGCATAGTAATCATATAATATTTTATCTCTTTTCAGATACAGTAGTAGCTTTATTAGAACCTTTATGTACTTCTTTATTTAAGAAATTTAAAAAATAAAATCGGCATTCTCAATTTTACTGTCAAACCAACAAACATAAGAAAATGCCTTAGATCTTTCTTTCCACGTTTTGATGTTGTTGGATTTCTTTTTGGTTTTTAAGGCAGTGTATTTTTTTCCTTTTTAGGGGTTTTTCAGACGGAGTATCCAGAAAAACATGGTGTACACCTGCCATCGAGACAAGAACTGTCAGATTAACAAAGTGACACGTAATCGCTGCCAGTACTGTCGGCTGCAGAAGTGCTTTGAGGTCGGCATGTCCAAAGAAGGTCTGTGGCCTGGAAAACATCTGTGACTTTTTATAAATTCAGCATACGTCCCACATCTTTTCACCTTTAACAGGTCCTCTAGATTTATATTTAACTTCTGTGAGTCAAACTCTTTATTAGTGCTTCTAAGCTAAATCTCTCTTCAAATATGAATTTGAGTTCCTGCTATAAATTCTATATTTATTACAAGACTTAGGTGGGCAAACAAAAGGGCAAATCTAAAGCAAAATATCCTTTGCTAACCTTAATTGTTTTGATATCTTTAGCCGTACGTAATGACAGGAACAAGAAGAAGAAGGACATGAAGGAGGAGGTGGTGCTGCCTGAGAACTATGAGCTGAGCGGAGAACTGGAGGAGCTTGTTAACAAAGTCAGCAAAGCTCACCAAGAGACCTTCCCATCTCTGTGCCAGCTGGGAAAATACACCACAGTGAGTTTCCACTTCCATGCATGGTGGCGTTTCCACATCCCTCTGCACTCAGGCTCACTGCTTTCCAAGAAAGCCAACCCGCACGATCACACAGACCAAAAGTGTCCCTGTTTCTCTCTCCCAGAACTCCAGCGCTGACCACAGAGTGCAGCTGGACTTGGGCCTGTGGGATAAGTTCAGTGAGCTTTCCACTAAGTGCATTATAAAGATTGTGGAGTTTGCCAAGCGACTACCAGGCTTCACTACGCTCACCATCGCTGACCAGATCACCCTCCTCAAATCTGCATGTCTGGACATTCTGGTATAAGTCCTCTCCTGTTTAACCAGCCCTCCACCTCCCTAATGCTTTCCCATTCATCACGCTGCTTCACTCCTTCATACAAAGCAAATATTGAATTTGGATTTTCACTCTGACACCTCTATAAAACTACTGAATTGTTGTATTTTTGTTGCTTTTTTCGCCCCCATGTTCTAAACCCATTAATTTTTCCCTCCCTTGCATAGATGCTACGGATATGCACCCGCTACACTCCAGAGCAGGACACCATGACCTTCTCAGACGGCCTGACTCTCAACAGGACCCAGATGCACAACGCCGGCTTTGGGCCCCTCACAGACCTGGTGTTTGCCTTCGCAGGTCAGCTGCTGCCTTTGGAGATGGACGACACAGAGACGGGGCTCCTCAGCGCAATCTGTCTCATTTGTGGAGGTAAAGCTGGCAGAATTGTCAAAGTTCAGTTAGCAAGTTGTTTAATAGGATTTTGTGAATCATCTTGTTTCTTCTTTTCATTGTCCCTTACCAAGACCGTATGGACTTGGAGGAACCAGAGAAGGTCGACAAACTTCAGGAGCCGCTGCTGGAGGCTCTAAAGATCTACACTCGCCGCAGACGCCCCAACAAGCCTCACATGTTCCCTCGCATGCTGATGAAAGTCACAGACCTCCGAGGAATCAGCACCAAGGGTGAGGGGATTTTTATAACACAAAAGGACTTCTTTCTATTAAGATCAAAAATCCTTTTGCCTTCTTTACTTGACTTATGACATGTAGAGATAAGACAGAGAAAATTGCTCTAAAGCACTAAATGCATGACACAGTAGAATGTAAAAGTGACCCCAATCAGTAAATCTTTACATAAACATTTTTTTACACTGTAAAAGTTAATGCTGAGAAAGTGAAATTATTTTGGAATATATAAATATCAGATTTATTTTACTTCACAAGTATTTACTACCCTCTGTTAGCCAAAGACCTGAAATCTGACAAAAGTTCATGTTTGTGGTTGAAAAGCTTAGGTGCATTTGTGTGCTTTGTAAACAGAATGATTTTTCAAATGTTTTGCTTCTCGATGCCTACAGGTGCAGAACGAGCCGTTACCCTCAAAACAGAGATCCCAGGCCCCATGCCCCCTCTGATCAGGGAGATGCTGGAGAACCCGGACGCCTTCGAGGACAGCAGCGACTCCAGCGACAGCGCCTCGGCGCCTCCCCCTGCCATCCAGGCCATCAAGCAAGAGGGGAAGTCCACTTACGAGTCCGCCTTCGAAGAGGAAGAGGAGGAGGAGGAGGACGAATATTGGGAGGAGGAGAGGGAGTGGGGGGCGGAAAGTGACGGAGAGCTGTGGGGGGAGGCCGCACAGAAGAAAGCCGTGGTGGGAAAAACGCAGTGAGAAGGATGCTGCCTCCTCTCTGACAGACCGCTGAGCCGCACAGAGCAACGCCACCTCAGAGTTAGGCTCGTTAATGACATTGTAATAACCTGTACATACTGACTGCAAGGAAACAGATTCTAAATAGGAAGCAAATAATCAAAGAGAAAAAGCACTACATTTCAGTGGATGAATGAGGGCACCATTAAAATATCAGCGCGGCCTTAGAAAAGATATTTGAGTTCGACACAATCAGAGCCGCAGAATAGCAGAAGAAAATGAGCTGCTCTGCTGTCTCCAAAGGGCTAAGCTTTGTATAAAATCAACCATTAATCGCAGCAGCTTATCTCTACATGGTGTATATGTGCCACGAATGTCTCCTCAGAATTACTTTTATTACTTATGCAACTTATTTTCTCATTGTACCTTCTTTTTCTGAGCATGTTACATTTATGCCTGTTTCTCTTTTTTGTTTGATTTATTTTTCAATCCTATGCAACTCAGCATGTGTGAAGTTTGAGCTTTAGCCTTTTTCTATTTGATTTATTGGACAAAAGCATTTCTAAAAAGATTTTTAGAGAGACAGAGAGTCATGAGCAGGACTCAAACTCACTATAAGTTTACACACACATATATATCTATCTATAGATATATAGATAGATATATATATTTCACAAGGTAAGTTTTCAGTCATGAAATCAAATCTAACAAAGGAAGAAAGAAAGGAAAAAGATCTTAACTTTGGTGCCAAATATAGAAAAGGCAACACAAACATATCCTTACCTCTCATCCTTTATCCTTTCACAAAAAAATGATCAATCTGCAAAAAGTAGATTTATTACCATGCCTCACTCTCAGGTTAACTATGTCTCAGCTTTCAGTGCAAAGCATTCTACTCACAGCAAGATGAAGACAAAGAACTCAAGTAAAAGTATTTAAATAGATGAATAAATTACTCAGGTGTTTATGAGAAAATCTATGAACATTCTCCACAATTCAAGCCAGAAAGGATCTATTAGCATCTATTAGATAACAAAACTAATTGTAGCTGCTCCCTACAGCTGTTTAAAACCACAGCGATAAGTCGTTATATTGAATTCAAAATTGAGCGCTGGAAAAAATATGTAAACTCTTTGCAGACAGGATTCTCATAAACGACGTATGATGGATTTACCGAACAGTTTTTAACCTTTCATAAATTATTGGTATCAATTGAATAATACATGACTTCCATTTCTAAACTTAAATCGTCTTTTAAATGAATAAAAATTTATCATTAATTTACTCAAAACACATTGGAATAATACAGAGCAGGCCAGAGATCGTCTGGGAGCCTATGTAGACTTTGAATATATAAATTCAATAAAATAGTTACATTTTTTAATATAAGTATAATTATGTTTGAGTTATATGATATTCAATGTCTAGAAGTGTTGAAATCTGCAGTTCAACTTGGGGAAAGTTAGTAGTTTGTATAAAACATCATGAAAGTGGCAGATATTAATACATTTACACTTCTGACCATATATAACCCATTAAACTAGGGTGACACACGGTGCCATACAAACCCTGTTTTACAGTGTGTTCCTTTTGTGTTTAATGGAGATAATGGAGTAAAATACATGGTTACCATTTTGCATTGCCAAGGGAAAATGTATTTTCTGACCATGATGGATTTATGTTGGCTGCTGGATCGTTCCCTGGTTCGAAGTCTGACATCCCAGAAAATCTAATATACACTTGACCAGTTCTGGATACGAATCAGAAGAGATTATTAAAGATTAAAGATAGATTTTGTATTAAAAGCCTAATTCAAAGTCTTCTGTACTAATCTGGGACTGCACGGTAGTGCAGTGGGTAGCCCTGTTGCCTTGAAGAAAGAAGAATCTGGGTTTGATTCCAGTCCCCGGGTCTTTCTGCTTGGAGTTTGCATGTTCTCACTGTGCTTGCGTGTCATCAAAAGTTATCATTTGACATCATTAACAGTTCTGTATTAAACAAGTTGCTTGCTGAAACACAAAATGAGCCTCCATTTTCTAAATATATCTTCGCAAATGGAATAAAGCATCAACCAAATAAAATAAAACAATGACTACCAACAGATTTCTTAATGTAATTGAGTTATAATCAGATTGAAAGCCATTAAATTGATTGGCCATTTTCATAATTAAACTTCCATTGAGCGTTGTAATATTTCTCTCAAACTCACAGACTTACACACAGTGTCTGCATAGCAACAGCCAAAATGATCTTTCTAAATCATATCAAGTTTTAATACTTCCAAATAAATCCTTTTTCTCTTTTCGTTCTTATTACTTTTTATTTGAGCTGGTGCAATAAATTAATCAATGAGGTTGTCTTCAAGGCCTCAAGCCAATAATCATATGTGCATCAAGGTGTAGCAATAGAAAAGACCAAAGACAGAAAAGACGCTTTGTATTCAGCAGGATTTTACTTACTTTTTTTTCATCAAATGAAGCTGTATACATCTCATCTCTCTAACGTTTTGCTGTTGCTGATGGGTTTTATTTGTTTTTTAATATTCCAAGCATGTTGTCAACATGTTCAGGGAGCGCATTTCTTCTTGTATGTTCTCCGAAAGCAGAATAGCTTTGATGACTGACTATTGCACACAGCTACAAACAAATACAGAAACTGACTCCAAATGCTCTGGTTACATTTCTATGAGAAGCTGAAACTGATTTTCCTTTTTTTTTCAATGCTTACTATTAAATGTTTTGTGATGTTTCCTGTATTTTGATAAAGGCAATTTTTTTCTTCTCAGACTTCATAATGTTTTTATTGTCTCCTATTTTTTTAACTTTGGACTTTTATTACATTTGTACATTTGTTATGTAGGCTCTTGGTTCCTGATAATCTGCTTAGAATGAATGAAAAGATATCTCTCGGATAAAACATGCAGTGGGTTATTATTTGGGCTGTAAGTAAGATAATGATCCAAAACGAGGCAAAATCAACAGAAATTCTAAGTCCGCTTTCTTCTATGATCATCTCAGTCTCACTATGGGATGAGCTGAAGAGAGGAGAGCGTAAGCGAGGAGGAAGAACTATGGATGATCTAAATCAGGATTCCTCATTTATGGAGGTCAAGTCCATAAATGCTTTGCTTCAAGGCCTGAATCAAATGGCTGATTTACCTCCTCACTTTACAGTCAGTCAAAAAATATATATTTTATTAGATTCCACACCACCTAGGTGTGTTTTTCATTTTTCTTAGGTTTTCATTTTTCTTATCCTGCTGGAATAAAAAGAGTTATTAAACTTAAGAGTTTTTGCACATCTTTTATTACCAGTCCCCATAAAATCTATCTGTATGTGAAAACTTCAATCATTCATTTCTCTGTTTTAATAAACAGGAACTTTGCTCTGCATCAAGTTTTCAGCAAAACATAGAAAGCAATCAATATCCAAATTTGTTGGTATTTTATCAACAACACCGATTTTCCAAACATATTATAAAACAGCAAACGGGCGGTCATGATCCTCGGGTCTGACTTGCTGCCATTTCACACTTGACCGTGATCACACGCCCACACATTTGACACGCTTTCAGGAGTCATGCTCTCATGGAAAACCCAGGAGCAAAAATAGCACTGCACAACATGTTGAGTAAGAAAGTCAGGCCAAAGACATATTTCTCACATTATCCACATATTCATGTAACAGCAAGAACACAGAGATTAGAGAATACTGAAATGCAAGAATCCTGAGAGTTTTCATCTCACTGAGAAATAATATCTCTTAAATATGATTAAGAGACAAAACTGTTGACTCTATGGAAAAAGCAAAGTGCGTTTTCACAAAAATAAGAAATAAATGCTCTTTGTTTTGTTCTGATTCAAATCCATATCAGTGGCACCAACGTTGCTTTTCATCCATGTGCTCCTGGTTTTGTCACCACATTGGGGAGTCGGGCAACTCACTGCAGATAGAAAAAAAGAAGGTTCACAAAAGATTTATTATTGCAGCTGATTTTGAATTTTTACAGCTTATTTTGGATTTACATCTGTGCTCTTACAACGGCAGCAAAAAGGTGCAACCACTCATCATGAGAATCCGTCTGATGGTGATTTGCGGCTCTATGTAAACCATTTTCACTAAATATTTCTTCTGTGATTTACGTGTTTCATCCATACATAGTGAAAACTACTTTATAGCCTTTGTTGAGTGGATTGTCTAGCATTGCACCTTAAATACACAGATTTTTGTAGCATTCAACAAGCTTCCTACTTAACCCTGGATGGCACTTAAGAACTCATCTTATCAGGAACGATACAACTTATTCTAACTGCTTGGTTTCAATGCAAGGACTCTGCCTTTTAGCACTGAAGTCAACAAACTTTTTATGCAGTTAAGATCAGGGTTCATGGAAGGTCATTTCAGAAGCCTAGCGGATAAAGTTAGCCTGTTTCATCTGTTTAAAATAAAGTTCCAAGTTCCTTTCCAAAAAGGAGGACACTTTGCCCAGCCTCGAGACTGATTCAGACAGGCTTCTCAGAGGTTAATGAATAATGCTTTATTACACCTAAATTGTACTATAATACCTTCTGTAGTAAAACGAAATCTGTAACAACCAGTAACAAAATTATAGCTCTCTTTAAATTACATAGATAAAATCAAATAATGCTCTAAATATGACCTCTTCTATATTAGAAAATACAGCCTCAACAAATTACCTCTTTAGAGCATCCTCTGTTTTACCAGGTCTAACAAATTACTCAGGCAGCTTTGAAGAGGAGCTCTGGCCTTGCAAAGCTTTTTAATGTTTTTCAGTGTCTGTGGAGTTTTGAGATCTCCAGCAACTTAATTAGACACAGAAAAAATGTGCCAGCTTTGCACGCAGTGCACTCAGCCTCCCACTTGATGCAACGAGGACGGTACATGCTCATTTCTTTTGGAGTTCATCTCTGAAGCTGCACATTCGTTTCGGCATTTTGTGTTCAATGCTGGTTGTCCTGCTCCCTGTGTGTGTGGGTGTCTCGCTAGACCCTTCCACTAGCCATCTCTCAAGAATTACATTGGCAACAAAGTGCAGTAGTATATCTGGCAAAGGGCATTTGAGCATATGGTCCCGTGAAAAACATTGAAAGCCTGACATTTTAATGAATTTATATGACCCCTCAGGGTTTTGGCTCGGTGTGCAGGGTTGGTCAGTTTTCATTCTCGTAAGTCTGGCTCCAAGGTGGAGACCAGTTTAAAATTTGGCATTTATCCTGGTACCATCTATATTCCTCTCCACCACTGAGACTGCCTGTCTTCATCTACACGTGCCTGTTTGGACTTATAGAACTCTGAACCTGCCTGAACGTTCTGGGGATTTCCAGAACCCTGGATCTGTCTGTTCCTGTTCAGACCGGAACCGCTGGTCTTGCTACGGACTCCTGGATCTCGGAACTGTCCAGTTCTGAACTGTGTCTCTGAACTAGATTGGTCTCCTACCTGCTTACTGGGGTTGCTGCAATGGGGACACTTTGGACGGCTCTGAGCCACATCTCATTTTGCAGTCCATCGGCTGGATCCTGCCTTCCTCTGAGAGGATGGACTGAACTGTCAAACCAGGTAAGTGACTCACTCGGATAATCATCTCCTGTCAGATGATCATGGTCACTTACCTGTGTTTCTCCCCTCAGAGTGTCAGTGATTACGCTGTTCCCCGCCCCCCTCCTGCAGCCACTGCGGTCAGTTTATCTTCAAGCAGCCCGCATCCCGTCCTGTTTTATTATTTTTCTGTTATTAAACATTTTGAAACTTTGCACTGTCTGACTCGCCTTGAATACTGGGTCCATCTGTCCTGTTTTATGAAACATTTGGTCACCCTAGTTTGGGATTATTGTCCAGTTGCGACACCAAAAGCGTACAGAAAAAAAGCCAAACTCTAATTACTTTGGGCATTTTATGTTTGAGGCCTACAGTTCAATATTGGAGACAGTTGTTTGCTCCAACAGGAGGATCCAAACCAGTAAAGCCGGGCATATGATGTGCTCTTTTTACAATCATTGCACTTGGTGCTGATGGTCATAAAAACATGTCTAGATGCAACTTGCTCAGAAACCTTTCTTTAACTATAAAGTGGATATAATCCTGTGTGTATTATACTTAACCTGTATGGATTGGAGAAAGGTAACTATAAATTCAAACTAGGGCTGTCATATTTTATTTTTAGTAATCATTCAAACTTCACTAAATGAATCACTAAAACCCCCAGATAAAACATAACATTCATAGGTGGATGCAAACCTCTGATCAGCACCCTACATATTTTTCACTGTGTTTCAGTGACACTGTCAAAGAAAAGATTTTATCACAGATGAAATGCTTAATAGCGTTTGGTGGCTGGAGCCTTGTCACCTCAGGGTGGGGTTAATGGGTTCAGGCAGGATTAGCTGCTTCCCTTCTCCTTCAGTTGTCCTGATTTCCATTTCTTCCACCTGAATTTAACAGACAAAACGCTTATTTCAGTGCTTGTGATCCTGACTAGTATTTACAAAGTAAGACTTGTTATACAAAGAACACAAAAACGTGACTTTAGCTTTAGCTAAATGCAGGAGGATATGACGCATTGTGGATGCAAACTTTTATGGTAGCAGTCAAATAGCAACATGCTCAGGGATGCTCTCTCTGAAAAAAGCCTAAAAGTCTAAAAAATTAAACAAACATTTAAAGTTCTGCTTTCTGCTTTATTCAAAGGTTTAGAAGACAATCTTTTATTTCCGGGTGGAACATCAAAATAAGTGGTCCTCCTAATTGTCAATCATTTTGGTGATATGTTTATGTAAAGCGGTCCCACATGCTTGTCCCATTAGCTATCTTTTTCTGTGCCTGTGCGCTTTCAGGTGTATATATGTGTGGTGAGCTACAGTTTCAAAAAGTCATTGAAGCTCACCTTTCTCACCGCAGTTCTTTGAAAATGGCAGAGGGTCATAAGAGAATAAGTCTCTATGAAGTTTATGAGAAGAAAAGAAAGGCCTCTGGAGAGGCAGATATATCCCAGAATGCTTTGCACGGTGAGTTCTTCTCACAAAGCATTATGGGATTTTCTATCACAGCCGCCTGCTGTCGCCATAGGCTACCCGACAGCGGCGACTAATACCAAAGATGGTTCAGGCACAGTGCAGTGGAGGAGGTGTTACATGACCAACAGGGAGCGAAAAGCAGTGATCATCTGTCCGAACAGTCAGTTAACTGAGTTCACTATAAAGTCTCCTATATAGTCCCCGCTCTTTATAGTGATTGGGGGATTTAGGGCGGACGTTCAGGCACAGTAAACTGGTATGAGCTATGTGAACCGCAACTTTTAAACAGAGCTTGCATAAAGAAAAAAATTGGCTCATGCAAACTCTTGCACATGCATTTTCTTTTAAAGAGCGAGGGTCTTTTAAAAAGTTTGTGAAAATCCTCCACAATACATTTAAGCACTGCGGTATTAATGTAACACATAGCTGAGATTTGTTTTTGAGATGTTGAGATTTTTCTTATCTCTCTTTTTTAACAACAGTACTACTGTTAACCTAACTAACTAACTAAACTAAACTAAACTAAAACAGAACATTTATATTTTCTGTTCCTTTTGAATAAATTAAGTGGATATATTCTTAAATAGCCCAATAAGGGGCTGTGCATCCTTTTAGTCATTTACAAAGTCTGATTTATGTAGCAGCTAGCTCTGCTGCTGGAAGCTAAAAGTAGTGTGTGCATAAGCGGGGATAAAAAAAAAACATATTCAGTAGTTTTTTTTTTCTATCCTTCAATTCAATAATACTATGGACCAAAATAAACATATACTGTCAGCATTTCACTAGATTTAAGCATTTTGTTCTTTGCAGCAGCTTGGAGTTTGGTTTTACACACTTTAGTAGCTTTTATAGTGCAATACAACAAATCTCAATCCAGCTTCATAATATATCCAATTTAAGCTGTCTGAATACAGCATACCTATGTGAACCAACTAGAATCAGTTATAAAGAGGTGAGATGTGTTCATTCGGTTTTCTTTCCACCACATCCATTTACACAGATTGTTTTTGCTCTGACCTATTTCTGCAGCAGCCCTTAACCCAGGTGTTCAACAATGAAACTGAAGCAACCACTCATGAATAGGCAGAGCTGGAGGAATCTCTTGAGACAACAGTCAAATATTTACCCACTCAGATAGTGTGGGTCTTTAATGCAGGTGCTATTAATGGTTGTTTGGTTTACGGCTGAATGGACATGCATACCTGGGAGTCAGCTGGTGACTCGTCACTTTGGCTGAGAGTCTCAGCTGGGATCTCAGAGTAATGGCTCTCCTCCGGGGCGAAAGATGAACAAGCTGATCTCAGGGCAGCTGATGAAGAAAGCTCCTCTTTCTCAGAACCAGGAGCTGTTTAAACAGTTTTTTAATTGTAATACTTCTTAGAAATGAAGTGCATGAAGACAACTTTTTACTTACAGATGCAATCAGCAGTTCTGATGTTTGATCTCATTTCTTGTCCGATCCCGAGCTTTATCTCCAGCTGATGAAGGCAATTCACCAACTCCTGGAAGGTTTCAGTCACGACCCACAGATTTTGAGAGCAAAACAAAAACAAACTAGAAATCATAAAACATAAACGAGCGAATCGAGAACTTCTCAAAAAGGTACTGGAACATGGGTACAGTACCCACCTTTTTTCTTTTTTCAAACTAATAAATAACAGGGATGTCCCAGCTAAATTCTTCAATTAAAGAAACCTGATAGAAGCAATCTGTCTAATTATTAAGCCTGCTGCAGCATTTCTGTCCAGCAGCGCTTGTATCCTGCAGAAACATTACAACAGCAGCTGAGCTCAAAAGTTCTCATTCATTTCTTCAAATTTATTCCTTTTTGTTTTATTTAATTGCAAAATATTCTTATGTTTTAGATTTCAGAATATCTCAAGTTTCAGCCAATACTAAAAGCTGCAATATCAGTACAGTATCGGAAATGAAACTGTTTTATCAGAAGCTCTTTAATAACTAATGCTGACTTTTTCAGGTTAGCCATCAAATTAAACTGGGATAAAAGGCGAGATTCATGTCAGAATTTTTTATTTTTTTTAAACGCAATGTTTCTAATCAGATTAGTTCTTAATACTTTTATTATTATTTTTAATCAAAGGTGTTATATCTCATGCCCCATCCTAAAAATGGTAGCTTCTTTAGACTCACACTGGGTCCCGCGGTGGAAGAAATAGACAAAAATGTCAAGTTCAGCTACATGGTGGCACCATAGTCATATATACCTGCTGGGCATTAAATGGCAGAGTGGAAATGAACAAAGATTTTTAGAACTATTTATATCTATGGGTCAATTGCAGCACATCTGTTTTTCAGATTTCACATGTGCTCCACAGTCGGTATGTGAAATATTCGATGCTACATAAAAACAAATGAAGTGATATAATGAATGCATGAGGCATTTTGTGGTGTTGAACAGTTGCCTGCTTGTGAAGTTCTTCCAGCTCTCTGCCTTTCTGGACCTTCCTCAGAGAGGCTTTCAGCTCCTGCAGCTCCCGCTTGGCGTCGCTCAAATGCACCTGCAGGGAGAGCAGCAACTTTACACCATGGCCACCCTCCCGTCCTGCTCGTCACATGATGATGATGTGGGGAAATGTTTACTTACTGTTCATGGAAGCTCTTCTATTTGTGCCGGCATGCGTGTAAGAAAATAACTGCTCTGAACTTTGGCATGCTTCTCCAGTTTCCAAAACACATACTGAGCAACTGATTTTATGCAACCATGAAGGTGTTTGTGTATTAAATGATGCTCTGACTGGTGTCTGTTTTGCCTGCTCACTTTTTCCCTCCCAAGCTCTGCCTCCAGTTGGTCTCGTTCTGCCCTCTCCTCCTGGAGCCATTCCTCCTTTCTTTGAAGCTCACAGCTCAGATCCTGTAGTTTCTTCTTATCCATCTTCACAAAAAATATGAAGAATATGGTTGAGAATAAGTTTGGTTCTACCAACACATAAAGCATGCCGGACCTTCACCTCTGCTGCATGCTTAAAAGCCTCCCTTTCGAGGACCCAGGTGGCCCGCTCCTCTCTGAGGGCCAGGTCTTGGTCTGACAGCTGCAGGGTAAGCTTCGCCACCTGCAGCCGGGCTTGGTGCAGCTCAGTGTGGGTGTGACTCCGCTGGATGCCAAGGTCTTGAAGCTGTTTGCGTAGGTTCTCAGCTACGTGGTCGCTGGCTTCCAGATGTTCCTGCAGCCCTCGCACTTCTGCAGCCAAAGCATCAATCTCCACCTGTTAAAGAGATTCCGTTGTTTTCACATCAATGCTGAAGACCTGCAGCCATCTATCTCAGGCCTTATCTAAATAAAAGGCTCCCATCTTTAAAACTCAGCTAGCATCTGTGTTCCATCAGCTACCTGCAGGGATTTTCTTTTTTCCTCATCGTGTTTCCTCTGGGTTGACATTTTCTTCACTCGTTCTTTCAGCCTGTGATCACAAAGTCAATTTTAATTCCGACTAATAAGACACAGTGACATTTGTACTCCCAACTAAAACGTGCTTCACTGGCCTTTGCAGCTCCATGTTTCCTTGATCTTCTCTGTCAGACAGAATCCTAATTTCATCCTGCAGGTCGAGGACTTGCTGCTGCTTCTCTGCCTTTTCAGCCTCAAGTTTTCTCAGTTCAGAGCTCTGAAGTTCCTGACTGCTCGTCTCATCCTTTCAGCATTAGAAATTATAGACAACGTTGTTTCAGAAAACTTTTCATCTCATTTGAAATTATCCATGTTTTGCTAGATTAGAACCAAACACTTAAAGGTAACTTATTTTGATTGTCAGCAATGGATGAAAACAAATGTACTGAAGAGTTGAGCTGTGAAAGTATGCTTGTTTTTTGTAAATTTGTTGGAAAAGAAGGAAATATTTTTTTTTAGAGTCAATGCTTTGGTGAATTACTATCCTCTAAGACACCTGCAGCAAAGTATAGCCTAGATATTTGCACATTTTCCGTGCAAAATAGTTAAAGTTTATGCTAAATAAATAGAGACCGTGTCTGAAAATATATTTTCACGCCTTATCACAAGTTTCGTCCAGCATTTTATTTTTTATTTTGCCTCTTTAAGCCTGCAACTCCTTCATGTATTTTCCCCTCAGCAAGATGCAACCATGATCATGTTTAATCTTGGAGTGATGGGTTCAGTGTAATGCAAAGTTTGTTATTCAGAGCATTTTGCATGTAAGGAAAAAAACATCAATGTTAGCCTCATTTAAATAGAGAACCTTGTTCCACTTGTTGGATTTATTCCTTACATGGCTTTATGGAAAAGAAAATAGGACTTCTTGTGTTTTTTTGTTTTGTTTTCCTTTCAAAGATTGTTTGTATTCTGTCCATCTTGCATAAAAGCCAGGATTGGAGACTGTTCAGGAAACAGTCTCTGTTAGGTGATCCTCCCACCTGAGATGTGGTTTTCTGCAGCTTCACCTCAGTTACCTTGGATTAGTAATCTTCTTTACTTCTCTGTGAGGTAAGGTAGGCCATCATGCATTGGTAAGTACTATTTATCAGTAAAGGATGATATATTGAGCAGTGCTAAAAAAAAGAGCATTTGTCAATTATATAAAATCAAACCAAGTCTTTTGTTATAACAGGACAAAAAATGTGTAAAGGTAAATGGGGTGGGAACACAACATTCCTAATTGATGTGTCTTTTTATTTAGCTTGTAAGTAAACCATAGGGATTGTCTCTTAGCTGTTACTATTACCCCCTCATACCTTGTGTCTCTCTTCCAGCCTCTTTAGGATCTGGCAGCTCTGTCTCAGGTTGTCTCTGAGTTCAGTGATCTCCTCCCTCATTGCCTCTCTTTCCCTCTCCCACTCAATTCTTGCTCTTTTGCTGGTTTCTTTTTCACACTCAACCTCCTTCTTGGCTTCTTCCAGAGCTCGCAGTAAATCCTCCTGCTGTTTGAGGCTCTGCGCTAGTCGACTCTGGGGAGAACACAGGAAAACGGGGAGGACTTTTAATGCCTTTCACAGGAACCAGAAAATCTGCCAAACTTCTAACAGTGGCGTCCCCCCCTTATCTTTCTGGAGGAGCTTCTTTTCCTCACCTGCAGCAGCTGAGCCCTGGGGATGACCAGGAGCAGCTCCTCTTCTTCTCCATCCTCCTCGTCTTGTTCTTCTTTCAGAGTCTCCAGCTCCTCCAGCGGCTGAGGGGCACAAAAAGTGAACGGACGGCTGCGAGCACATATCTTTCCCACGCTGTCCAGGTAAACAAACTGGTACTCCACATCACTAGGGCGAGGCAAGTACGATGCTGCAGAATGAGTATAAAAACTTACAGTTATTATACAGACTTCTAATCTGAAAAAAGACATGAAATAAGACGATCATGAAATAAGAAGTATCTAGATCTGAATATTAGTTCTGAGCATTTATCTTTAAGGAATGTCATACTTCCCTCAAAATTCTGCAGGATCAAGCTGGAAAATATTTGAAACATTTCTAATAAAATATAAAATGCTCTCTAAATGTTCTATGTGGTTTTATAATGTACACAAAATCCAAGATGCGATAATTAAATTACAACAATCACGTAAAGAAAGGAAGAGAAAGGTGAAAATCAGATGGTGCTTTAAACAGAAGGTATCTTGCTTGCACTTTGCCCTAACATGAAACTTTGTTTCTGGACCACATGTAAGCTGAATCTTTATAAAAACAAAAAACAAAGATGCATTGGGGTCCATTTTGATTTTTTTATATTGATGGAATACAGGTGTCTAAATGTGCAGACTAACCAAATTTAAGCCTGCAAAATGTAACAGATCTAGGATTGTAAAGTGTGTTTTGTGGCCGATCACAAACTTTAATTTAAAAGACTGATTTAACAATGGCCGATAGCATTTTAGACACAGTCAGGCGTTATAAGGAAAGAATTCACCTTCAATGTTTTAATCTTTTTTTTTATTGAAAAATATTAAACAACTCAAAGATCGGCTCACAGGAAAATATCAGCTGATCAACAATCACCCAAACTTAACGAATTCGAGGCCGATCAATTTGCCTTAAAATTTATACAATGTTAAAAAAATAAAAATAAAATAAAAATATAGATATTATTATGATATGGAAGAAATAAATTAAGCTAACAGATTTTTTTTATTTTTTTTGCTTTGTAAAGCATCCTATGACAGTAAGATTGTATTTTAAGATGTTTGAAAGGGGACAGTTACAATTAGATTTCTTTTCTTCTTCTGGTTCTTTTTTTTTGTTCGTGTAAAAAAGCTAAATATTAAAATTTTTGTTTATTTCCTAACTGTTTCATATTTAGATAAAAAAAGAAAAAGAATAAAAGAAATACAACCAAACCGTAATAAATGGCACCAAAGAAATTAATGAATAAATACATAAATAAAATTTAAACGATGAAATTAGTCTTAAAATTTCTGCAACATGTTTGTTTCTATGTGGGATTAACATCAAAGAGTTGGAGTGGATTAGCTGGAGCCCCAACTTAAACTTAAAATCTGTTGTGCGGGGATGTAAAGATGAGGGTGATGGAAAGGGGGCCATCCAACCTAAAAGACTCATCAGTGAAAATGTCAGTCGAAACATGTAAAAACGCTGCTCAGCCATCATAGTAGGATCTTTAAATAATCTCATAACAATAAAGAGCTTTCACTTGATTACACAAATACTTTTGAAGAGGTTATCTGTTTCATTAAATGTGAATAAAATAAATGTTCGTATACAAAATAACTCCTCTTTTACTTTCTAAACATTTTCTGAAAGATGCCGCCACATTTTCTAGAAGAGACAAAGTTGTTGGTTGAATAAAAAAAAATAAGAATATAAATCCGGCAGATTTATGAACATTTTGGGGTTTAACTGTAAAAAAAAAAATTATTCACATATTATTTACCATAAGTGACTCACCCATACATGATATGGACAGGATATAAGTGAGCTATTGCTGTCTATTGAGTTATGGATACAGACTGTTTGAATACACTGATGCTGATTCAGGTGATAAATGATGAAATGATTGAGAAATTGTACCCTGGAAAACTGCCCAGTAGTCAACGCTGGTTCCCTCTGTGTATCCATCAGGGACCAAAGCCCACGTATAGGTGTGATACTGTTTGACTGAAGACCAACCCATCTGTAACAGGACACACAAAAACACTTTAATGCTACTATCCTCCATCCTCTCAGCATTCAGGTGGGTTGTAGTACCTTGAAAATCCCTATCCAATCACTGCTGCTCCACTGATGCTCTGATGTCAGACTGTAGTGGCACTCCAGCCTGGTTTGGGGGAAGTACAACTGTCCCACATTTCGAAACACCACTGAGGGCTGTTTCTCCATGAGTAATGGGAAGCTTCACTGTTGAGAAAGAAAACACACATGGGTCCAGTTTGATGTGCTCCAGTTTCTCTCCGGATGAGAGCAGCTGATGAAAGGTGATAGCTGAGATCAGGAATGCAGCTGTGTGAGCATAACACTGACCGCCTGTAGCTCAGCACTATGTTTTAAAGCAAGAAGATCCGACACTGACTAGATCTCAGTAAAGGAAAAATCAGAGCCATTCCAAAAACTTCCAAAGCAAATAATACAAACATATGAGAAGAGTAGATAAAATATTTTTATTTAGCAGAGGTAAAAAATAAAAAGTTTCAAACACAGACTAAAAATGGTTCTTAAACTTATTTGATTAGATATTTAAAGCCAATCTTTTAATAAATGTGTATTTAAATCGAAAACCAAACAAAAAACACTTTTTATTTGATTAAAAACTGTAAAAAATAAATTTTTTAAGAATCGTAAGAGTTTTGTTTGTTCAGAATCTAAAACTAAACATTAAACCTTACCTTAATCTGTTAAAAATAAAAATTCTTTCCACTTCTCATAAGAGACCAGGCTGGGCATCAGTGTGGAAGAAGTGCTGAGCAATTCTGTCAGGTGCAGGAGTTTCACAACATCCCCTGGACCATGAGGAGCCCACATAAACTTTAGAGTCCCAAGGGAATTATGGGAGATGTAGTAGTATGAGTGCATTGCTTGCAAGGGGGTAAAGCTGCTTTCCAAACTTCAAATCCCAGAAAAAGATATTTTCTGAGCATGTGCCACTTGAAGTATGGCCATGTTGAAATACTGTGGAAAAAGTGTTATAACCAATAATAAAACTAGCAAGATTCATAAAATGGTAATATATTTTTTTCAAAATATTTATGGGTCGTAAATTCTTGCTCTTTTTAAGCATATTCATTATTTTACAGAGTCATATTCTGGGAAAGGCAGTTCTATATTATTTTGACTGTGTTAGAATAAAGTTCCCACTTTGACCACTAGATGGCAGTGCAGCTGCACCAAACGCTCCAAGAAATAAAACTCAAAAAGAAAAAAAAAATGTTGGCCTTATTAGAACAAAAATATGAGATGAACTTTTTAATTATTTTCCTCTTACACCTTTGTTCATTAGTTCTTTTTTTTGTAAAGTTTTTATTTGAGATATGATAGAGATAAAAAACAAATAACAAATAAAACAACAAAATGTTGTTCCAATTTTCAACAATAAATTAAACAATGACTATTTCCATGACACAGAGCATTTATATCTTCTAGAAACTGAGTTGAAACTGGGTTGATAATATAGATCTGATAGAAAGAAAGGTTTTTTAATGTTTATCCTATATAAAAAAAGAGACAAACGTTGACCTGAATTCTAATTGAGGAAATATTTTACTGTGTCTCATAATTAAGAACATAATATCGAGTATTCTTTTTTTTTCCAAGTTTTCTTTAATGAGCAAAGTTTAATTACTGAGTCCGCAGAGCCCCAACCTGAACCAAAATAGATCATGGCAGGGCAGAAGGACTTGCACCAGGGGTCAGTGGCTCTCAATATTGGCTACAAATGATATGAACTAATTAATCAGAATCAGACATACTTAAAATTAAATGTGCTAGGCCTATAATAGAAAGTCTTAGAAGCTTTACTGCTTTTTATAAAGAATATCTTAATTTCATTTTCAGCCGCATGACATTTAAAGAACAAAAAATTTGTTTCTAGAGCTTTTTTTGTTTAGTTAGCTTAGAAATTAAGTGTTTTATTGTCATTCTAAAAGTTAAAAACACAAAAAAACAAACTGTTGGCTGTTTAAGATGATAACAGATTTTAAAATATGTTTCCTTTCAAGTCATGTAATATTAATGCTCCTCTACACTAAAAAAACGTTCTGAAAATGAGTAAAAATTTCTTTAAATTAGTTTAATTAACCTAAATTTGAGTAGGAAAATAAGATGCTCGGCCAATGAATGGAATGAGCATTTTTACACCTAAAATAAATAAATATTATGCACTTGAAATAAGAGAAAGCAGTTGATTTTATCTTAAATGTAAATTGTCATCTTCCATTGGCAAATTGAAGAAAAAAAAACTTATTTTAAGAAAAGGGGACTTAGTCAGATTTACATTTGTTGCAGTGTAAAATACTTTTATTTAGCCAGACTCGGGGCAAATGATTCTTTGGATATGGAAGCATGCAGATCCTTTATCTATGAGAAGCCATGATTTCTTCTTAGAAAGAGGAACAGCAACAGCATTAAATTGTAAGTTGTTGTGGTTCCTCATGCTGCTAAATCTGCACATTCTCAACCTATCTGTGCTGGTGGTCCACAACCATACCGTTAATGACAGGCCAGTACAGATCACTGAGGGCCATATAGACACTCCTGATTTATGTTTTTCCAATAAACTTTATGATGATGACAAATATAGGCCTAGCATTAACATGCCAGCATTTGTTTGACTTCATTACAATAAATGGTTTTTACCCAGTGAGAAGAATCAAATCTGTTAAGCCCTTAAAAAAAGAAAATCTCAATTATTTTGGTATTTATGTGGCAGAAAAAAAAGGTCAGGCTCACGCAGTATTTATAGACCAGATGTTTTTTCTTCAACAGAAAACAAAAAACAGACGTGAAGCCCAACAAGATAACAGTAGTGAGAAAATGTACAGCAAAACATTTTTAAAACAAAACATATATAAAAAAAAAAAACAACTAAAAAAAACAAACAAAATAGCTTCTTCTGAAAAGGCTAAAAGATAAACAGCTTCCCTGGCAGACATTGGTAGAGATGAAGCTACGGCTAAGTTTAAGCACCATATTAGTTAGAGGGAACAACAAATCTCCTCTTAACCTGAGATATAAGGAAGAAATAAATATTTGATCCCTGGCTGAGTTGTTGCCCTTGCATTAAGTCTGTGAACATGGCACACTTCTCCACAAATGATGTTCAGGCAGCTGGCCGGGGTTAGAAATCCTCCTCCAGGATCTGGTTGTACTTTACCTTTTCTTTTGGTCTTTTAAAGTCAAAAACAAATTATCCACCTCTGTGATAGACAGCAGGCTAAATGCCTATTAATCTATCAAGTTCTTATAAAATATCAAATCAAGTTGATGTCAAATAGCTGGATTTTGCTTCATCTAACTGCAGCACATTTTACCAAACTATATCATTTAGATAATCATTAGCAAAACTTCAGATGAAAAGTTTTTTTTCCCCATTAATTAGTTTTAGTTAAAACTCCCAAAACTTTCCAGGATCAAAGTCATAGACTTCCTCATTTCTGATATTCAGAAAAACAAGTTTACTATACATATATAGTAGACAAAGTACAGCAAGGTTGTTAAGGAAGAAAGGATGCAAGGGTAAATAAAGTAGAGATGCACCGATCCCATTGTTCTGATCCAATCTGATACCGATACCTGGCCTGAGCCAATCAGCCGATATCAGCTATTAAATGAATGAACCATGTGAGGGAAGGCTTTAACCTAGATATAAACATTATTGAAAAATGTATCAAATTAATACAGATATAAATGTATTTTATCGTTTTTGTTAACAAATAAGAAGCAAAAAGAAAAACTCTAAAATAAAGGGAGAGAAAAAAGAAGGAAAGGAAAAGAAGAAATGAATAAAGACAAGAAAAAATGTGCAACGAGAAAGAAATACAAGAGAAACAAGGAGGAGAATGAGTAAAGGTACACGGAAGGATTCATAAAATAAAAAGGGAAAAAAACAGATTGAAAGAAAAGGAAAGAATGAAAAGAAAAAAAGGAAAGAAAAAGGTAAGAAGACAAGGGAGGACTGAAAGAAACAAGGAGGCAAGGACAAAGTTAGGGAAGGGAAAAACGAAGAAAGATTATAATGATGACCGTCACAGGAAGGAAAGAAGATTTGAGAGAAGGATGCAAAGGTGAGGAACAAAGAAATGAATGATGGAAAGGATGAAAGAAAAGACAGGAGAGAAAGACTGAAAGAACTGGAAGGAATTAAGACAGAGAACAAGGATGCAATAACATAAGGAAGAAAGAAATGACTCAAGAAGGCACAGGGGTGCAAAAGAACTAAAAGAAAAGATAGAACACAAGAAGGATAGGCTGCAACATATACAGATCGTTTTTATACACTAATTTTTCATCTTCATACCTATCCAAACCCAGAAAATACAGATAAAAGGCCAAACTCCCCAGACTGCATGAAGGCCTGCATGAAACTGACCAAACAGATTTGGGCACCCTGCTAATAATAAAACAGCTGTGGGAACCAGCAGCTTCTACACCAAGTTAAAAGTCAAGTTTTGTTTGATGATCAAACCGTTCATGTCCACCATGCCACCCTAAATCTGTTTACTATCTTTCTTCTGAGTCGTTCATTGATATTTTTAACTCTGAGTGGAATAACCCCACCATAAAAATAGAGACTGCTCATGCCTTTATGGGAGAGCAACAGTTATTTCCTCCACTTGAAACCTGGAAACATTAATAAACACAAACATTCAGGGAAAACATGAGGTCAGATAAGATAGTGTTTGTGATAACAGCCTGGATACGGGTGGAAGATATATATGCCAGCATTTTTCACCTGCTTCTAGTCTCCTGATTAACCATCAGGGTGAGCGTACAGCTGCTGAGGCTTATTAGCTGCTACTCAGCAGAGAGAGGACACCCAGTTCTTCCAGCTTGGCTTTAGCCACCGCCTCCCAGCCCTTATTGGCCAGAGGGTTCCTGGGCGACGGGTGCATGATGCCCTCGACTCGCACATCGATCCCTTCAGCCGACAGCGCCCGGCGGGCCCGTTGCTCTGCAACCTTCCCCACACCGATCACCATGGAAACGTTCAGCGCCTGCACCACTTTGCAGAGAGCTGCATCACACAGAGAGAGCAGGGCTTCTCGTTTGTCTGCAGGAAGCTCGGGGGGCGTCAAGTTCTTCCCGCTAGCGCTCATGAAGATCAGTGGGCACAGATTGTGAACAAAACAGTGGCGGAAAAACCGCTCGGGCTCGACGCACAGTTTTCTGAAGAAACCCCAAAACCGAGCGCCGCTCACTTCACTTTGAGTGCAGCTTAGGCCCAGGACCCGTCTCTTTGGATGCTCCTCAGCGGGGTGACCAACCTCCCCTGTGATCTTTAGCCAATCAACGACCGACTTCACCTCACCAAACGGGACCTGAAGCAGACAGAATATTCAGGGATATTATCATTACAGCTCATTTTACTGTTGTCCATCGTCTCATAATATCACTGTGCATCATTCTGAGGGAATACAGTCAGTATTTAGCATCTGTAGTCTCAACACCCTTTGGATAAACAGAAATGCACACCACACTTTTGAGGTTTTGGCTTGTAGACCCATCAGTTGACTACCCTTCAGTGATCAGTGATGGTTTTACATGAAATTTACCAGGGGGTAGTTTTTTTTTTTTTTTTATGGGTATGCAGAACAAAATAAAAACAAACAATAAAAAATAGGGCAAGAACACATTGCTTATTTTAATTAGAAAGCCACAAAGCTAAGACTGGAGACCACTGACAGAACAGATGAAGAACAGTAAACTTTGAAAAACTGTTAAAGTAAACAGGAAAGAAAAAACATTTGATGGATCCAACTGACGAATCCGGTAGTTTCTATTGTCAGTGCATATAATCAAAAGAAATTGATTTAGTATTGCATGGGGGAAAAAAAGATCCTAATAAATAAATAAATAAAATAAGTGATTATGCAGGTCTTCAACAGGGGGTCTGCAACCCCTATGGAGTCCAGGGATGTACTGCATGGGGGTCGCGAAAGTTTTGGTTGATTAGACTTTTTTGTTTTTATATTCCCCTTGCAATTTTTTCCACTATGTCTTTAAATCCACATTAACATGAATTCAACACACTGTAGTAAACAGATAAATGGAGGCAGAAGATGTCTTTCAGTCATCAATGAACACATTCAGCGACACACAGGAGCTCTTTCAAGCTGGGCACCGTTTCATTCACAACACCTGTCCCATCAACCAGAAATCAGAATCAGAAATACTTTAATAGAGTGACTACAAGACCAGTTTGATTTAACACAATTGCATACTATATATAATTAGGGGGTCCCCGCTCCATCTCGCCATCAGTTTGGGGGTCCTTGGCCTGGAAAACATTGAAGAACCCTGGATTATGTCACTAATGTGAGCAGGCCAATAAGATGATCTGCCAAAGGAATTAGTATTGTTGCTCTTAAAATAAAATAATTTGATGTTAAGCACTTAAAATAAGATTTTTTCTTACTTCAAACAGAAAATGTCTTTTTAACCTGCAAATTGCCTTAACCCTTTAAATGAAGGAAAACTACATTAGACTACAGCAGTGGCGGATCTAAGGGGCGGCTACTTGAGCTACAGCCCGGGATGTTTCCCTCAGAGCCCCGGATCTCGCTTCTGAGCTGATCTGAGTAAAATGTGCAGTACTGGAATTCACCACATAGTGGCAGCATGCACGGGAAAGCAGCCTGTAGCATTCCCGTGCAGAGGAAGAAGTTCTCACCACTAGCTGTTGCTAAACAGACTTTTGATGTCCCAGGAGATGTGAAGCTCTGACTGACTTCCAGACGTTCTTTGTTCCGGTGTTGTATGAAATTTTGTTCCCCTTGTGTCGGGAGCACGCATGAGGCAGACATGGCGGATGGGACTTCTGATCGATTTCAATGATCATGTCAATGTTTTAACATCCAGTTTAATCAGCAGCTGTTGTTTACTAAATTGTAAAATAAATAAATAAACAAGGTCCTTTAAGCTGTTTTGTGTTATTTTAAGCGCCAAGAGAATCTTTTTCCAACTTTTGTCTCTTCAGCCTGACAGAAATAAAAGTCAGTCACCAAACACAGATTTACAACACGTAGTGAGTATTTATCATTTTTAATTACTGATATGAGAGGATGCAAACTGGCTGATAGCAGGACACAAATATTAAGAATTCCTGCAAAGATGAGAGTGTAGACTTTCTGGTAAATCACTTTCTAAAGTAAAATATGACAGATTACTGGATTAAGGATAATTTCTAGTATACGACATGATATCACACAACAATTTTTTTTTTAAATCTGGAAACAGTTGCTCTTTATTTCCCAAAGATATGGGAGGAGGAGAGAATGGATATTACAGCTGCCTGAAATATTCTGTTCCTCCTCCATAACATGGGGAGAAATTAATTCACCTGTAAGTCTTTAACTGTCTTTGTTCCTCTCTGCATCAACAACAAACTGTGGATTTGCCGACGTTTGACCATTATTTGCCAAAGTTATGAGAGGGGAATCAAATATTTTAGCCACCTGATATAATTGTTATAATAATAGTTATGTGTGGTAGCATGTAGTATACAAGACATTTCTTTAATCCAGTAATCTGTCATATTTTACATTAGAAAGGGATTTACTCTCTCATCTTCGCCCTCAGGGCTAATGGCCCCTGGTCTCCAAGAATCCTAGATCCTCCCCTGGACTACAGCACAGGGGTCAGCACAGCTTTTATAGGCACCTGCCCATGTTGGCCCCTTCCTAGAACCGCCCATGCGTAAACAGCTTAAGGTTACTCATGTAAAAATCATGTAAACATGAAAGTTGGTATAAAGCAAAAGTAAAGAAAGCTGCTGCTCACCCCGGTCTGCGCCATGCCGAAAGGTCCAGGATTCATCCCCAGGAACAGGACCTTCTGTCCGGGCAGACAGTACTTCTCCACGTAGCAGCGGTGGGTGTCCCAAGCGTATTCTAGCGGGTTGTAAACAAAGCGGACGGGCTCTCCGAAGGTGATCCCCCGGAGGTGGGCGTTTAACTCCAGCTCAGCCTGCAGGAACCTGGAGGAAGAGGAAGAGCTCCCCTCTGTTGGCTGAGAGACCCGATCTGCTAACACCTTCAGCCCCCTCTCAATCCCCGATGTGTTCCCATCAGACATGATGAAATAAGTCGCTTTTTTGGCACAAAAAAAGGCGCATTAAACTGTGTTTTCTATGGATCAGTTTTAAAGCTAAACACAAAGAATCTCATCAGTTTCTTCCTCTGCTGCAGCCTGTCATCTAGAATGCGATGGCGCCACCTACAGCAATAAAGGTGTAATTACACCATTTACTCTATTACCCCACAAACTTTAGTGTCTTTGCTAGTCTGTGGACACTTTATATTGCTTTAATGGGTTATTAACATATTGTTCATTAGATTGGACCCAAATCCAGCAGAAGAGGCAAGCTGCAGCGTAAACAAACAAACCTTCATTCTAATATAAAATCCATGGCGGATTTAACTAAGGGGCGGAGTTACTAGACAAGTTTAGCAAATGGCAGCATGTGGATGTTTCAGCACATAAGTAAGAGTGAGACTATTGAATCTTGTGTTGGCGTTAAGCTCAGTAATATAAATAAATAAATACATAAGTCCATCCCCTAAAGTCAGATACGGCAGTAGGTCCCGGGATCAGACAGCCGAGGAATCTCGACGTGTTGGTTGGCACTTCCCGGCCACCGTACTCTACGTGCAAGCCTTTGAAATTTGCGAGGATGAACTATGTGAGTTATAATTATTATTTTTTTGTGTGTGTGTGGGAAAATGTATATATAGCATCCCGATCCACACTCCATTCCAGTAGATAGCGGTAATACACATCAAATAAGTTGCTGCCAACTGCCATAAAAAGAAGAACTAAGAGTTCAGCATTGGTAACAGGGAAGCATAAATACTAACCTTTCCATTTTCACACTTGAAATCTTGTAAAATCAAAGTCCTTATTTTTCCCGTCTTTTTGTAACCACAAATTACACCACTTTATATTGGGATATATCTTAACTTTTGTAAGCCTTAACATGGGTTTGTTATTACTGAGGGGGGTCGTGAGAATCTTTAAATGTCACATTTCATTAATGAGAGAAACATAAAATACAACAAATCCTTTACAAATTCTTTATTTTAGCATAATAGTAAGAAGCCTCTCCTCTGATTTTCATACAGCTGGAACTAATTGGATCACAAGGGTACATATTAGTTAGCCCATTTTTACAATAATTGTAAATTTCTTAGGAAGTTATTTTTATGCACTCTCTTTCCTACACAAAATAATCAATAGATCCCATCTTAACTGAGGACCGTAACTCTGCATGCAAGACTAATAAAGAAAACAACTAATCTGTGATAGCTACTGTTATGCTGTTGTTCATCTAATACCATTATCAATATAATTTACTACAAATACCAGGGACTTTGTATAAGAAAAGCAAACATTTCTCTGTGATACAACATCATATAATGTCAAAATTACAGAACATACTGGGCTCCCAACTGTACTGATCCAAATCATTCTGATCACCCGCTGTGTCAAGGAGAAAAAACAACTTTTGTCAAAACCCCTAAAATCTAATACAGACTGAAGGAAAAAAAAAATATCTAAAATGTTCATGTTTCTCCATCTTATTCCAGTGTACAATTTTATCTGAATAAAAAAAGGTCCTTGAAACAATCATAAAAATGTAATGAGCTAATCCTTCCTTTGATCGGTGTGAAAATAAAATAAAACTTAACACAAAATCAAACAAGATTTGACATGGAAGGATTTTGTGTTTCAACAACGTAAATGATAATTCTTTAAACCAACACAGACAAACAGGTATCGACAACGTGCTGTATTGCCCTTTTAAAAATATTAAAAATCTGTGCACACACCAGTGGAGTCCCTCCACAGGCCAGGAATAGTGTTTCCAAAGCAAATAACTGCAATTCTCAAACTTGGCCCCTATTCTTTTTTCTGAACCATTCTATCTTAATAAAGTCACCTGAAGTGAACGCCTCACTAGCTGCTTATCTTCGAAAGCTTTTCTAAAAACATCCCAATTTCCTCATAACTGCCACGTACAATGAAGCAAATAAAGACGCCACTTCCACATTTGGTTAACGGCTTCAGTAGCACATAATCCAGGAGAAAATGGTTGCCTCTATGCAACCTTTCTCTGTCCAGCACTGACGGCCGGCGTGGTTTCAGCAAGCAGCGGATTGTCTGCTTTAAGATATGTAAAAGAAACCGTATCGCAGAGGCAGATATTACTACAATAACTCGTGTATTTTTGGGTACTTTAAAAAGAAGACACCGCTCGTTGGAATCCATTTAACACTGCTGACCTCTCATACTGACCGTCGGGCTCCCAGTGACTTTAGAACCGCATGCGGTTAAAAAAAAAATAAAAATGAACAGTAAAAATGATGACCTAAAATATCCATGTTCATCAGTTGAGTTGTGAAGCCATCGACATTTGAGAATTTTAAGTTTAGCAATTATTAAACACAAAGAAAAGGCTGGTAAATGCATCTGTGGTGCAGCCTTAAAAACACAGCAGAAAAATAAAAGGCAATAAAACAAAAAACATTAAAGAAACCTACTAAGGCCACAACATTTTGTATACTGCTGCTAAATCTCACAATGTGATGAGCTGTACAAACAGTGAGACACCAACAGGCCAATCTGCACCCGGTTTCCACCCAGACTCAGGAAGTGACGTTTTTTCTGACAGCACTGGAGATCTC